CCCGGAGGTTGGTTCCACCAGCAGGCAGGCAGGCAGACAGGCGGGGATGGCCACACACTAGCTTAACCTCTGGCTCCACCTAACGGCAGGAAGTCCACACTCCCCTTTCCCAGATGGACAAACTGAGCTTCCTTCCCCCAGAAAGGCCTCCGAAGGAGGAAACCAATTCAGCAAAGACGATTAATTAACGGTTCTGTCTGGCCTTCCGCTCTGTCTGTTTTCTCCCCCTGCCATCTCACAGAACGGAGGAGAGTGGTGTCAACTTTTTGGTTAGCATTCTGGATTTCCCCAGCCCTTTGTCTGAGCCTAAGCACTTCACACACAGTATCTTTCAAACATATCTTTATGGGTGAGTCATTCGGAGGCCTGCTGAAGAAGGAGGAACCGACACAGAAGCCTGACATGGAGCCGAAAGACAGAGAGGCACCAATGGGACCTGAAGCCCAGCCCAGGGTTCTGGCCCCACATCCTCTCTGACCTCTGCCTGGCTTTCCCATCACTTTGTATCCTGTTTGAAAGTACTTGGGCGCTCGGGGCAGGGGAAAAATAAAAGCTAAGTCGCCGGCTGACCCGGCCAGGGGAGGGAAGGAGGGTCTGTGCTCACCTTGAGGTCGGGAGGCTTGCTCCGGGGTCCAGGGTTGGGCGCCAAGGCGGCAGCGCCCGCGTCGTTAGTTGGCCCGCCGCCCGCAGAGTTAGCACCCATAGGCCACCCGGGCCGGAGGTCCGCGCCGGGCAGGTGGCAGACGGCATCTTCCAGCCCACCTCCATCCTCCTCTCCCTGCGGCGGCTGCAGCTCGTCCGACTTGCACCTCTTCATGCTGAATGTGGGTCGGCCGGAGGGAATCTGTCCTTCCCGCGACCCGTCTTGGGTGGGTGGGTGGGGGGCGGGAGGGAGACCGCACCCCCTCTTACACTCAGCAACGAGGCCCGCGATCTAAAGGACCAGCGAGGAAAGGAGCCGACGGAATACGATTTCTTGAATTGGGAAATGAATCTTTAAAGGGGAGGGAGGGAGGGACGAGGATCCGGGGAGCCTTGGTTACAGCTTGGAACCGTTCCCGACGACCTGGAGCGCGCAGGCAGAGCGCGGCGGAGGACGACCGGCGGGAGTCCTCGGGCGATCATTGCAGCGGGGGAAGGAGGAGGAGAAGGGGAGCCCCCGGCCCCCCAACTTTCTGCTTCAGGGCCCGGCCGGGGCCGGGGAGCTGAGCAGCAGCGGCAGCGCATCCCTCTGGCTTGGCCGCGCTCTGGGCGAGGCAGGGCTGGGGGCTGCCGGCCGGCCCGGCAGGAGGACCTCGGCGGCCGCCCTCGGCACGGGCTGGGGGCCCCCGGCCCTGCCCCCGGGCCCAGCCCCGCATGGGCCGGTCGCGGAGCCTGCAGCGCCGGGCCTCCTCGCTTCCCACCCGCCCGCGGCCCGCTCCCCGCTCCCCGCCGGCGCGCCGCTGCTGCAAAGCCGCGGCCGCAGCCACAGCCAGCGGCGAGCGCAACCTACCCCGCCCGGCGCCGCCGCCTGGCAGGGGAAGGCGAGGCAAGGAAGGAGTGACAACGGCAGCGAGCCAATGGGAAGCCTGCGGGGCCGAGGGGGCGTCGCGCGGCCACGTTTTAGGGTGTCAGGATTGGTTGCACGGTGTGCGTGCGCCCCCAGGAGAGGTCTGGAGGGCTCTGTCGCGGCGTCCTGGTCTTGCAGAGTAGGGGAGGGGACAGCGGGCCACCCGGGGCCCCGGGTGACAGATGCTGCAGGGAACTTCCCAGGGAAGACTCTCTCGGGATTACTCCCACCCACTCAGTTTTATTTGGTGGGGAGGGGGCGCAGGAGGTATGCTTATTATCCACTGCTTTTTTCACTCTAACTTTGCATACACTATATCTATCTATCTATCTATCTATCTATCTATCTATCTATCTATCATCTATCTATCTATCTATCTATCTATCTATCTATCTATCTATCTATATCAGAGTCCTGGTGCACGGATTCGTGTGCTGGTGGGGTCCCTTGGCCTGGCCTGCGGGATCAGGCTGAAACCAGCAGTCTGACATCCCCCAGGGGTCCCAGACTGGGAGAGGGTGCAGGCCAGCAGAGGGACCCCACCGGTGCACAAATCATACAGCAAGACTCTAGTATGCATATAAGATCTTTAGTTAATCTCTTCTCGCCCTCCCCTTTCCCCTCTTCCCTCTGAGATTCATCAGTCGGTTCCATGTTCCCATGCCTGTGCATTGACTGCCTGCCTGGTAGTCAGTGCGCATCATAGCTAGCAGTCAACGGTGGCCAGTTGAACACAGTGTATTAGCCTTTCATACTTATAGGTATATAGATATTTCCTTCCATGTGGAAGACCCTGGTGCCTAGGAAACTTGGTTTGAAACAGAAACTCAGAGCTACATGCAGTGCTGCAAACGCAAAGGGAAAGCGACTTCTTCCATCCCATTGTCCCTTCCCCCACTTTAACTCTCATGAGTCTTGGCTTTAGGCTCAGGAATGACAACATCTTTCATATTTGAACACAATAATGAGCGTGAGCGTTCCTTGTAAGCTGTAAAGAGCTTTTTATTTTTTTAAATATATTTTATTGTGTGTGTGGTTTTTTGTGTGTTTTTTTTTTTTTTTACAGAGAGGAAGAGAGAGGGATAGAGAGTTAGAAACATCAATGAGAAGAGAATCATCGATCAGCTGCCTCTTACACACCCCCTACTGGGGATGTGCCCACAACCAAGGTACATGCCCTTAACCCGAATTGAACTTGGGACTTTTCAATCCACATGCCAATGCTCTATCCACTGAGCCAAACCTGTTTTGGCTGTAAAGAGCTTTTTAAATAAGAAAGGATATCAGTGGCAGGAGATGGGGACTCATGGAAGAGGAGAGGAACACAATCTCTTTTCCCCATAAATCTCAGCCAAACTGCACTGAGTAATCCGAAGGCAGAAGGAGAGCAACTATTGGGGTAACCAAAATACAGAGCCTCGTGATAACAAGACCATCCGAATGCCTACTGCGTGCTTGTTGCCGATTCAGAAGCCTAGAACCACAGTTCTCAAAGAGTGGTTCTGGGACCAGCAGCCTCAGCAGCACAGGGGGTCTTGATTGAATGCAAAATATTGGACACCAGCCAGATCTACCGAGTCAGAAATCCGTTTTAACAAGCCCTCCAGCTATTTCTGATGCAAGCTAACATTTGAGGACCTCTGGCCCAGACTATTCGTGAAGGAGATACTGACTCTGAGTCACAGGGATGATCTCCACTGTCTTACAGTTTAACAATACTTTTTGCACCCATCATACTCTTCTAGCCTCATGTCAGTCCTATTAGCCGGTGAGTTTCTTTCTTTAAAAACAAAACAAAACAAACAAAAAACACCCATATTTTATTGATTTTTTTTTTTTTTCCAGAGAGGAAGGAGAGGGATAGAGAGTTAGAAACATCAATGAGAGAGAATCATCGATCAGCTGCCTCCTGCACAACCCCTCCTGGGAATGTGCCCGCAACCAAGGTACATGCCCTTGATGGGAATCAAACCTGGGGCCCTTCAGTCTGAAGACAGACGCTCTATCCACTGAGCCAAACTGGTTAGGCTAGCCTGTGAGTTTCTTGACTCTTTCATCTTCTTCCCATTCTAATCACTCATCTTAATGTGCATCCTAGAAGAGCCTAAGTTGTTAAGAATTTGCTTTCTAAACTAGGCAGCTCCATTTTTAGAAGATGGGAACTTAGGATGGTTGGGAATGTAACACTCCCCCCGCGCACACACACACATCCACTACACAGTATCAGACACAATGTAGAGAAACACAAGCCACAATGCACCTGCAGCATTCCCAAAGGTGAGGTAAAGGCTACATGCCATGAAGACCAAGGCAGATCCAGACAGAACCAGTGGGGCAGATCCACAGGGTGCAAGATGTCAGGCAGAGGAGTCTACTGCCCCCTGCCTGACTGGCTCCAGAGAAGTGCAGGGGCCCCCTCAGACTCTGGGCCAGTCTTGGGGGGCAAGCAGTGACCAGCAAATGGTGACCCTACATGGACACATGTTCATGACCTGACTCTAAGCTGAAGAAAAGTGGAGAGATGGGGTGAAGCTTTAAGGAAGCAGATACTATTATCATTTTGACTTATGCCTCATTTCTGTACTAGGTTGAAGTGACCTTAAGTTTGATTTTTAAAATTTTTATTTGTTAGTGAGAGAGAGAGAGAGAGAGAGAGAGAGAGAGAGAGAGAGAGATGTTCCACTTAGTTATGCATTCATTAATTGATTCTTGAAAATACCCTGACCAGGAGTCAAACCTGAAACCCTGGCATACCTGAACAACACTCTAACCAACTGAGCTACCGGCCAACGCCTTGGTTTTCATATTATCACTAGAGGTTCAGTGCACAAATTTGTGCACCAGTGGGGTCTCTCAGCCTGGCCTGTGGGATCAGGCTGAAACCAGCTCTCTGACATACCCCAGGGTTCCCAGATTGTGAGAGGGTGCAGGCCAGGCTGAGGGACCCACTGGGTGCATGATCAGAGCCAGAAGGAGGTTGGCCAGCAAAGGAGGGACTGAGGGAGGGCTCCAGGGCTGTCTCCCCATCTCGTCCAGTCCTGATTGGCCGGACCCCCACAGCAAGCTAACCTACAGGTCGAAGCATCTGCCCCCTGGTGGTCAGTGCACATTATAGCCAGCAGTTGGGTGACCTTAGCATATCATTAGCATATTACGCTTTGATTGGTTGAATGGCCAACCAGTTGACCAGATACTTAGCATATTAGGCTTTTCTCATATAGGATACACATAGCCAAATTTCCTATTTGTGATCATATTTAACAAGGTGCGATGCAGGTCAACAAAAAGTTTGTGGTGTGTTTCATAAAATCAACTAATACTTTACATTCCGTTTTGGAGAGGCAGGATAGCACAGTTGTTAAGGCTTCAGACTCTGTGACCAGACTGCTTGGGGACCAATCTTGGCTCTGCTCTCCACTGAGTATGTGATTGGAGGCCAGTTCTCTAGCCACTTTTTTTTTTTTTCATATGTAAAAATCCTTTATTGTGGAAGAAGCTAGGGGAACATACTGTCAATGCCAGCTGGAACTGGGGGGTCACTATGCACTGTCCACATCCGCGTTGGGTAGAGGGATGGGGAAGGAGGCTCAGCACAAGAAGGGTGCAGGCTGGGGAGAGAAGGGAAATCGGAGTGCATGCACTTGGGGATTCGGAGGGGGTGACGGGGTTGTTCATGATGCAGCCAGGAGAATAGAAACAGAGTGCCGAGGACCAAAAAAATGAAATCACATCTTCTGCCTGGTAACACTCCCACCAACCGCCAGCTGGGGGAGCAGAGGAGACGGGGAGGGGCACCTCATTCCATGTTGGCGGGGTACGGGGGGCTGCCAGAGCGAGCGGCGCCCTGGGGGGTCCCCTCAGCAGGCGTGCCTGGCTGGCTGTTCCTCTTGCCCATGAGCCCCACGAAGAAGTCGTGCATGTCGCGTTTCTGGAGAAAGGACCGTTTCTTAGGATCCTTGCTCCCCTGGCTCAGAGTTTTGAGCAGTTCATCCACCACGGAGACCGAGTTGTGGTTAGTGAGCGCCTTGAGCAGCTCCTTGATGTTTGGGACCTTCTCTCTGCGGCCCCTACTGGGTACCACCTGCTCCTGTGACTCCTCACCGACGGCCCCGAGAGCCAGGCTGAGGGCCAGGACGGCTGCCAACAAACAGCAGGGCGCTCCGCATGGTGCTGTGGAGCCTACCGCGGGAGGGTCTGACTCTAGCAGAATCAGGGAGCTGGGCGGACTACTGCCCTGCTCCCCACAAAGCTGCTGCTGCTGCTGCTGCCGCTGCCGCTGTGAAGAGGGAAGCGGGGAGTGGAGGCAATCTCTCTCTCTAGCCTCTTTATGCCAAGATTCCTCGTTTGGAAGTGGGGAGGGAGGGGGGACTGACTGTTGGGTAATAGGGTGGGCGAACGTAGGTTTACAGGAGTTCGGATAGAAACAGACTTACAGGTTATGATTATTGCAATCGTTTTATTAACTCAGAAGGATGTATATTTCATATACCCTCACAACGGTAAACCTACTTTTGCCACCTCTGTCTGCAAAGCACTTAGATATTGCCTGGCAGAGTGGGAGGGCGATACCTATAATCAGAGATGTCATCTGGCTTCAAAAGAGTTGCACACTTCACTCCAATGGTTCTATCCTTGGTAGTTCATTTAAATGTGTCACACCACTTCTGACTTCCACTGAGTGTCATTTTGTAGAACAAATGTGCTACTGCCAAGACAGTTTGAGTGGGAAGTCTGTGTAGAGAGCTGTGTGACCTGCAACAGCCAGTTTGAAGCTGATAGCACATTTTCATTGGCCATCATAAATTCTTTTTTTGTTGATGTTAAATATTTTAATTGATTTTTTTACAGAGAGAAAGGGAGAGGAATAGAGAGTCAGAAACATTGATGAGAGAGAAACATCGATCAGCTGCCTCCTGCACACCCCTATTGGGGATGTGCCTGTAACCAAGGTTCGTGCCCTTGACCGGAATGGAACCTGGGACCCTTGAGTCCGCAGGCTGACGCTCTATCCACTGAGACCAACAGGTCAGATCAACTCCATCGTAAATTCTTGAGTACCTAAGATAAATAGAACCTGAAAGTATTTTTATTGAAATTCTATTTAAAGGATTGGATCCTGCCAAAACCGGTTTGGCTCAGTGGATAGAGCATCGGTCTGCAGACTGAAGGGTCCCAGGTTTGATTCTGGTCAGGGTCATGCACCTTGGTTGCGGGCACATCCCCAGTGGGTGGTATGCAGGAGGCAGCTGATTGATATTTTTCTCTCATCAATGTTTCTCTCTCATAGATGTTTATATATATATATATATTACAGAGAGGAAGGGAGAGAAATAGAGAGCTAGAAACAGCTTGATACACTGATATATATATATATATATATATATATATATATATATATCCTTTTTAAAGAGGATTAGATCCTTCTATTTTTCTAGGCTTCTTTGGGAAAATACAGGCACATACTATGTTTTGATGTTCAAGATGATCCTAGATGGTATTGTAAGGATTAACTAGACAATGTATGTGAAGAAGCTTGACACATGGTATGTGCTCAATAAACCTGAACGAAACAAAAACAATCAACTTTTTCAAGTCCCTGACTGCCACAGGAGAAAGGAGAATTGTCCCACAAAGATTAACGCTTTTTGTCAAAGGAAATCCCAGTTTGAAAGGGGGCTCTCCTGGTAGAATCAAACTTGTGAAACCAGTGAGTTGTATAAACAAGGATAAAGACAAGGGTTGTGGAAACTTGTTCCTTTGTCAGCAGCCAGTTCATTTAGCTTGATACACTGATACAGTTTTAATTATATGGAGGATAAGTTGCTGAGATCAACAAGTAAGCATAGAGTAGGGTGTGTGTGTGTGTGTGTCTGTGTGTGTAAAATCAAGTCTGAGAAATAAAAAGCTTCTTTTTGCCAATAGCAAGAGGCTTGTAGATTATCCAAGAAAATTGTTTCCTATTCTGTAGAAATTCTTTAAAAAACATTTTTATTAAGATTATTTTATTTTTAAAATATATTTTATTGATTTTTTTTTTTCAGAGAAGAAATAAGAGAGAGAGGTTTAGAAACATCAATGAGAGAGAAACATCAATCAGCTGCCTCCTGCACACCCTCTACTGGGATGTGCCCTCAACCAAGGTACATGCCCTTGACCGGAATTGAACCTGGGATCCTTCAGTCTGCAGGCCAATGCTCTATCCAATGAGCCAAACCAGTCAGGGCAAGATTACTTTATTTTTAAAAGTTTTATTTTAATTTAAAAACAAATTTTAAGTATCAAGTGGACAGGTAGTTTTTGAGAGCTATTTTAAACATACGGAGTAGACTGCTTTTCTGAGAAGGTGAACGCATTCTTTAGAATGACTAGATATAATAATTTTGATCACTGCATTTTGATACCAGTATCATTACAAATATTCTTCTGTGGATGTAACCTTCTTCCCTTTCTTTCGGAGATATCCATTTCCCCTTAAAAATAAATAAATCAGGTTCTGTTGGATTGGGGGGGAGGGAATTATGCAAATCATCCTCAGGGAGATTGGCTGGATCGTTGATTACGTCACCATCCCACCACCGCAATCCAGGCCTTCTATTGGCTATTGTAAAGGGGGGGCAGGACCAGGAAGGCTCTGCTTTGCTCGTCAGTTGGAGAAGGCTCTGTGCTAAACAAATGTTACCCTGTTTGTGTGTGTGTGTGTATGTGTGTGTGTGTGTGTTTAATGTACTCAGGAGCATTTTCCATATGTCATTACATTTTCCACGTTACTGTGCATGCAATTAGACATATGCTAAGTAAACGTTTAAAATGACAGCTTACCATTCTATCACGTGAATATTTCAGGGTTTAACCACCTTATTCTTAGATAATTATTTCAATTTCTCACCTTCAGAAATAAACTGTAATTATTCTTTCTACTCAGAAACGGTACATATTTTTCCTCCAGAGCATAGAACCTCTGATACTGGCCAGTGTTTTAAAGGACTGAACAAACTGAGCAGGTTGCCCCTCTTGTGACCTTTGCCCTCCCAGCATCTTTAGACGTGGATGGAGCGGTGACTCTCCTATCGGTAGCACAGCAAGCTGGAAGTTTATTTCTCCTTTTGGGGAGGATGCACATTCCTCATTCTGGGTGCTGGGTGCTACTGCGTGGTGGGAGAAAAGTCACAATAATCATGGCCACGAACAGAGGAGGTTTGTGAGGCGAACACTCAAACCCTGATTATACTGCTCTGCGTGAAAGCCTGGGACTGGAAAAATGGCTGCTTTGTGTCCTTCCCCGTCCCTATAGGGAAACCATACAAACCCCCGGGCAGTCTGTTACTTAAAGCTGAAAATGCTAGACCTTAGAAAAACAAGGAAGAAGGAAAGAGAAAATGTCAGCGTCGCTCAGAGAAAACCCGTTGTTTATTATTTTACTTCTGAGGATAAATACCTTCAGCAGTTTCATCTGCTATTCTAGGTGGTGCTTTTAGAAATAATAAGAGCAAGCAGCTACTGCTCACAGGAAAACCTAGGTGTGGGGCATTTTGCTGGGAACCTTGTGAACTCTGGCTCCCTGAATCCCCACAACAAGTCTGCAAAGGCAAGTGTTCCCCGCACACCCCGGGGAGGACACAGGCTTGGAGAGAGCCCAGCCCTCTCACAGGCCTGAGATCCGCGCTGTGCTCTGCCTGGCTCGAACCCTAAGAACCTATAGCTCACCTTTTCACAGCTGTCATTCTGAGCCACTCTCGTGGTAAAGAATTTATCAATGAGTATTAGTCTACAGTTAAATATACCGACATTCAAATATATTTATGAAACACATACATACAAACGCTTTACAAGATGCCTGTGGAAGGTAGAGAACAAAAGGAAGTCCTTGGTCCCTGCCTTTGCACTTAAAAAGTTCCAGCCCTAACCGGTTTGGCTCAGTGGATAGAGCGTCAGCCTGTGGACTGAAGGGTCCCAGGTTCGATTCCAGTCAAGGGCATGTACCTTGGTTGTGGGCACATCCCCAGTAGGGAGTGTGCAGGAGGCAGCTGATCGATGTTTCCAACTCTATTCCTCTCCCTTCCTCTCTGTTAAAAAAAAAAAAATCAATTAAAAAATATTTTTAAAAAGAAGTCTGGTGGGGGAAATGGGACACACATGGAACATAAAACAACAGTACAGGACTAAAATAGATTACCTACCACCGTCCAGAGGAGAGAGGGAGCTCTCTGGGATGGATTAAGATGACTAAGGAAGAAGCGGTACACACATCCATCCATATCACTCACGTTAAAAGGATAAAATGTTGCTTTGGAATGATTCAAAAGCCTTTAAGTAGGCAGGAACTATATGTCATCTTGAATATGTACTCATTCAGTATTTGGAACTCTTTAACTCAACGCCTGCATATTACAGAATTTTTATGGGGTCTGAGTCATGGGAAAGACACCTTTTCTCTGTATTCTCTGAGACCACGGAGCAGTGTTCCTCAGAGTATGGCTCACGTGTTATCAGAGTGTTACCAGGGTGGGGTTTCTCCATTGCTAATGGGAGCAGGGTTGTTATGATATCTCGAGAAAAAGATGTTTCTAAGACTCACACGGGAGAATGAGTGATTTTCATTTGCATAGAGTTATAGCCCTTGGTTGGTAAAGTCCCATTTCCCTTAAACCCAGTCCTGGAGAGTGTGCAGCTGGGGGTTCAGCAGGGCTAGCGGTAAAGCCAGTGTCCAAAGTTTCCACTCCATGGTGGAGGTGAGTCCAGGACAGCATCAGGCTCATTTTATGTATGTATGTATGTATGTATGTATGTATGCATGTATGTTGATTTCAGAGAGGAAGGGAGAGGGAGAGATAGAAACATCAATGATGAAAGAGAATCACTGATTGGCTGCCTTCTGCACGCCCCCTACTGGGGATTGAGCCTGCAACTGAGGTATATGTCCTTGACAGGAATCGAATCCTGGACCTTTCAGTCCACAGGCTGACGCTCTATCCACTGAGCCACACCAGCTAAGACAGCATCAGGCTCATTTTAGTCCATCAGTCCATTGTGTGTGGGGTCCACATGGCTGTGGGCCTTGTGGGCGAATGCAGAGTAGTAGACTCCCTGCAACAAGAGAGCCAGGAACGCAAGAGGGCTGTGAGAGGGAGCTCCCTTTTTTAGGAGCTTCTATGCCTCAGATTTCACGCCCTTGCACTGGCTT